TTCTTTTACTTCTGCAAGAATTATTAATTTTTGGCATATGACAAGATTAGACCTTTCTTATTCTGTCTAAATCCCAAAATAAAATCTCTCGATTCTTTACCCGAAATAATTCATTGTCACTACCAAAGAACCAAATGTTGGTATTCCCTCTCTTTAAGACCTTGAAACATTGCTTTTATCTTTTCGATACACAAAAAAGTCATATCCTTACATTTCGTTGAGCCAATAAAGTCACACCATCATCTATATGTATGTTATTTCTCGTATAATCATCATGAACAATGACCAATAGTTCTAAAGAAATTTTCTCAAACCATGAGATTATCCCATCCAATAGTTTTGTTAAAATCCCTCAAACCAATAGTTAGAAGAAGGCCGTCAATAAAAAAATCTTAACAATCTTGAAGAAAAAAGTCATAGACTAGGGAGATGTATGGCTAGATGAATTATTTGGCATACTGTGAGCACTCAGAACAATAACCCACACACTTGATTGTAAATAAATCCCTTTAAACTTAATATATGTGTCTGAGGTTGTCATGTCGACTAAAACATAAATGTTAACCTGGAAAACAAACCAAATTAACTTGTATGCTAATGAAAATGCTTTGAAACAAAACTGATCTTCTATAAGACGCTTGTGAGATTGCCAAAATAAGACTGACAATAAGAAATTAACATGTGATAACGTACTACAATTTCAGTCTATAACAAATAATTCTAAAACTCGTAACAAATAATTCAATGTTGGAGACTTAGAGATAAGAAACATGAAAACTAAGCTTTCAATTGTGAAAGGAAAAAATGACTCAAAATGAATTTATAATTAATCTGCTAATTAAAATGTTAAGATGACTTTATGTTGAAATACCTAGATGGAGATGTTTTATTGTGAAGTACTTATGCTTGCATATCATGAGATATCTCCATAAACTCCCCCATTTTTATATGTTCATATAGTTGTAGCTCCATCGAGATGTTTTTGTTAATACAACATTAAGATGTCTCTATCAGGATGAATTTATTACCCCTCATTTAATGAGAGTGTTGAGATGAACTTATAATCCTTCCGTTAGTAAGAGTGTTGATATGAACTTATAATCTTTCCGCAATTGAGAGCATCGAGATGAATTTATAATCCTTATGGTAATAAGAGTTGCAAGATGAGCTTATAATTCCTCCACTAATGAGAGCATCACGATGAACTTATAATGCCTCTGTTAATGAGAGCGTTAAGATATATTTATAATCCTTCCGTTGAAGAGAAGGACGAGATGAACTTATAATCCCCCGTTAAATAGAGCGCCAACATGACTTTATTATCTCTTTGATGGTCGTTCAACTACTTTATTTAAACAATCTAATTCGTTGATGGCGAAAAAAAAAAGGAAGAAACAAGTGGTAAGTTTTATAGAATTTTTTTTTACCATTCATGAGAAACAAAAATATTAAGCAAATCACGTACAATATTTAACAATGTGCCATATATTAATATCTTTGTCCAATGATTATACGACTGAAAACATTTAAGATTGATGACTAATGATTGATGATATGAGACTAACAGTCACCCGAAAAATGATTGTAATAGGTGACTAGCCGGGGATGCTAGGTCGAATAATGACCTATGACTGCTCTCCGCTATCCTAGGTATCATATCTTTTAATTTTCTTAGTATAACATAGAAAATGATGATTCTAAGCGGAATTAAAGAGAAGCTTGCAACAGCAAAGGGGTCTTCATTTCTTTCTCCTCTTCCTAGATAATCTCAACTAGCGCGGTAAATGAGACGAGACAGATCGTGAACTATTAGATTTGATTCGGTCAAAACTTGATAAATATTAAGATCGAATGGACTCGACTCGAGTTCGAGCCCGACTCGAATTCTTAACGAGCCGAAACGAGCTACTTGATACTCGACTCGAAAAACTTTTGAGCAGCTCGAAAATAAAATATATTAAGATTTTATTTAAAAAAAAATAAATTATTAATAATATTAACATTTATGTGATGTTTTTCTTAAATAAATACAGTAAGACTTTTATGTATTTAAGGTTCAGGTTCGAGTTTGAGGCTTCAATATAGTTAAGTTTAAGATTTTTTTATTTCGAGCCTTTTCGAGCTGCTTACGAGCTTCAGTTCAGGATTTCGAGTTCGAGTAGAGCTTAAATCGAGTTTTCGAGTCGAGTCGAATTTTATTTCAGAGTTTTCGAATCGAGTCGAGCTCAGAAAAACTCGAGCTCGACTCGACTTGTTTACACAGCTAATCTCAACAACCTTTCCCGACTAGATCCTAGCCCTCAGAAGTAATTCTGGTTGCTGTCGTTCCCTAATAACTTTGATTCCAAACTAAAAGGGATTAACTTCAACCAAACACCACCAATCTTATTTTCCCTTAATTGTACATCAACAAATTTAATTTTAAAATTTTGTGGTGACAAGTCAATATGTTATTTATTATGATACATAAAGTTATAAACTACAATACATCAAATATTAATCATGTTTTATAAAGAAATGGAATATGTTAAAAAATCTATTTTCATTTCAATTTTTAAAAAAATGTAACACTATGCTGATGATATTATTGATATTGTTTTTATTTATAACTTATATTTAAAAAAAAATTGAATTACGAACATATCCATATTTTATTATATTTTGTTTGGTACATACTATTTTATTATATTATTATTGAAGGGAAATCCGGAAGTCATGTTAGATGAGGAAGCAAAATGTTTAGTTGAGAGAAGCACTTCCCACCAATTTCTTGGTTTCCATGTCCCTATCTCTTATCAATTTGACAGCAAACTTTCGTTTTGTCTTCAATAATAAGCATGCCTTTGCTTAGTGGCGCTTTATGGGCCCACATATTGCATCCACGTGGTATGTTTCGTTTTGTCTGCAGCTAAGGTGATGTGGCCTTTGTTGTTAAGGACATAAATATTATAACTTGACTGCATTTTTTTTCTTTACATTGGGACACGGTAAGCTCCTGCATTAAAACTTTCACGGAATAAGTGGATCAAATTGGTGACAAAAAATAATACTTAAATTCTTTTTAATGCTCTTATTGTTACACTGAACATGCAAATCCTTAGATTGATGGCAAAATAAAAATATATCGTGGCAGATCTCTTTCCGACGTTGATGGCTCAACCACATCGTTGATATGTCTTTGTGAATTCAACTTCACTATAATCTGTCTTTTACGTTTTTTCATTTGGTATAAATACCAAGAAAACCGGAGAAGAATATATAAAAATATTTAATAAAAGGTTCAAGGATTATTTTTGTTTAGTCAAATTATCATTTTTGTCCCTATGATATATTTGTATAAATTTAGCCCTCAAAGTTATTTAGGGACAACATCTTAGTCCTCGAAGTCGGTTGATCATTTTGACTAACATATTCGTGAGTCTTCTGCGTATGTGGATAAAGAGATTAGGTTAAAATACAAAAGTTGGAAAAACTTTTCTAAAATTTTATTATTTATTTCAGTGAGATTAAAGAATTAGGTTAAAATTTTAGATTTTTTTTTGTAATCATTGTATGTAGTAGATATTTTAAATATTTTATTATATATTTTTATTAATAAATGTCACGTTAATAATATTGGCTGACGTGAAAATTGATGGCATCTATAGACGCAAAAGACTAACGATTATGTTAGTCAAAACGAACATCTTGCGCTAGAATGATGCTCTAAACAATTTCGAAGGCTAAATTGATGTGAAAATACCATGGATCAAAAATGATAAATTGATATTATATTTAGGTTTACGGTATATGATCGAGTTATTCATCTTTATTCTCTTATATTCTCTTATGTATTGGGTTTAAGACTCGTTAGGATCACTCTCCTTGCTTTTCCTAGAATCCCCTCCCTCTTCCGCTCTAGGTAAAATTAAGATTATATTTAGGTTTTATTAAAAAAAACCAATTATATAAAAGATAATCAATTCTTAATTAGTGTCCATAAATATCCATTTCTGTTACAGTAAAATAGCTACATTTAGTGAATTTTTTCTTGTCCAAGTTTACCATATTTAATCAGCAAATCTTGAATTTAAGAATTGATAGCATACCAAATTTATCTTAGAAATAAAAAGTATAGCGTAAAGATTTGATTTGCTACCATATTTTATACTAATTAAACCCATGACAACAGAATACACGTCCTAATAACTCCCTGTTTTGGACTTTATTGTATTTGTCTAATGTCAAATATAAAAAGGGGATTAAAGAAAAATGCGAATCTAGATTTTATTAATTCATATAATTTTTTAAAACTCTAATCATTTAAATTTTTAACATCTAGTTCTTAATTTGTCACATTCAACTTTCCTATTTAGAAAGTCCAAAAATACCATTGTTTATTTATTAAATTTTTTGATTTAGTCCATTTATTTAAATTTTTTGAAAATTAAAGTAATTTTTTATTCAACCCTAGTAATATTTTCCATCAAAATTCGCTTACTATATTATGAGCTTACGATAATTTACTCATGATATTAGCATATTTGTTAGGGTGAATTGCTAAAATTTCCGATGTTGATAGCTATTGCTTCTCTAAATTCTTTTCATGAAAGTGTAACGTATTTTAATATTATTTTAAATATTTGTTGATAAACTATAATTTTTTTACAATATTTAGATTATTCGTGCACTTTGAAATTTTTTTATTACAATATAATATATGATTATTATCTTATATATTTAATCAGTTGCGAATATAGTTTTTGTCCAGAGTGAGAATCTAAATTTTTTATATTAATAGTTAATTTTATCAAGAGTATTTATCTAAATTTTTATTTGTGTCTATCTTATACGAAAAAATTATATTATTAATATACATGTTCATCTTAAAAAGTATTCCTAAATCAGCAACTTTATTTAATCTAACATTCTCTTATATGTTATGTCGATAATAAAATTAAACTTAATTAACAATCAAATTAGTTCAAAAACCTTTTGCCTTGGCTGGTTGAATTGGATCAGACAAAGGATCGAGTTTCCTGCTCCATTCCGAAAAGGTTAAAAACCGAAGTCTTTAACACTTTCCATATCCTCTCCCCTTCCCTCCAAGAAAAATGCCTAAATTTGGCTTTACCCCACCACATGATCAACTGCACCGACACCACCACCACCTTCTCCTCCTCCTCCTTTCCCTCCTTCTCTCCGCCACCAATGCTTCCCCTGCCTCCGCTACTACCACTAATTATCAAAGATTCAAAGAAGCTCCACAATTTTACAACTCCCCCGCCTGCCCTTCCTTGGACACCAACGAAATGTGCTCCGACCAAGCTGTCCACGTTGCAATGACCCTAGACGTTGTCTACATTCGTGGCTCAATGGCGGCCATTCTCTCCGTCCTCCAGCACTCTTCTTGCCCTCAAAACATCCTCTTCCACTTCATCGCCTCCGCCACCGCCGACCGTCACCACCTCCGCCACACAATCTTCCGCTCTTTCCCTTCCCTCAAATTCCAAATCTACCCATACGACTCCTCCGCGGTGTTGGGCCTCATTTCCACCTCCATCCGCTCAGCACTGGACTGCCCTCTCAACTACGCCCGCAATTACCTCGCCAACCTCCTCCCCCCATGTCTCACCCGAGTCGTTTACTTAGACTCAGACCTCATCCTCGTCGACGACATCGCTAAACTCTCCGCGACACCGCTCGGAGACAGCACTGTTTTAGCTGCACCGGAGTACTGTAACGCCAACTTCACTTCCTACTTCACCCCAACTTTCTGGTCAAACCCGACATTATCTTTAACATTTGCCGGGCGCAAAGCGTGTTATTTCAACACGGGTGTAATGATCATAGATTTACAAAGATGGCGACAAGGAGACTACACCACAAAGATTATAGAATGGATGGAGCTCCAGAAGAGGATGAGGATCTACGAGTTAGGGTCCTTGCCACCGTTTTTGCTCGTGTTTGCAGGGAACATAGCACCCGTTGATCATCGATGGAACCAACACGGGCTGGGAGGAGATAACTATAGAGGATTGTGCAGAAACTTGCATCGCGGTCCGGTCAGTTTGCTGCATTGGAGCGGGAAAGGGAAGCCATGGGTGAGACTAGATGCTAACAGACCTTGCCCTTTGGATGCGCTATGGGCTCCCTATGATCTTCTGCAAACACCCTTGGCTTTGGAGTCTTAGAATTTTGGTACAACATTTCTATATAATTAATCTCATGTTTTTTTTTTTCATATCTGGGCTTAGGTTTTTAGTTCTATGATACCATTGAACATCAAAAAACAGAGATTTGAGTGTAAAATTTAGATCTTTCTCTATTGAAGATGGTGAGATGCTCATAGATAATACAACAGAGACATTAACAATCTTACTACAATGTATTTGAGAATAGTATATATTACAGCTACAAATCAAGGAGATGGAAATATTTTCAAATTTCATGTTCATCTTTTCCTTTTCAAATTGTTTGATGTCATAATTGCTTCTATATTTCATCCTGTTTCTGGGTGATAGTGAAAACTTTATAAAATTATGGTGTTGAAGACGGAATACATATACATGCGTAGTAAATGTTTTTCATTTTTAACATTATTGGTTATAAAATTCTTGTGGTTTCTAAATTTGAAGAGGAAGCTTTATTATGGGATGCTTTTCATATTACAGTAATAGTGTGGATCATACAAATCAGTTACTATTTTTATGGTGCTTTTTTGATAGTTTGCCAATTTCTTCCCTTTACTCTTGGGTCTATCATTGTCTTGCCAGAGCCAGACATTTCACTTTGATTCTTTGACCAAATTGATGAGACTGAGGCTGTGAGCTAGCTTTGTTTTTCTCTTTTAATTTGGGGTGTATGAAACAAATAGTAATATTACCCATTAATTTGTTATATCTCGTAAGATATTTTCGAGAACGATCAGTTCTATGCCCCTTCAAACATTTATGAATAGACTGTTTTGTCCATTAAAGATTCCAATAGATCAATGTCATTCTGATTAGTCATAATATATGAATAAGACCTTTTTTTTTTTCCTTTTGAACTGATGAATAAGACCTTTAAACAAACTTCTAAACATACCCACATTTTCTTCTTCTTCCCTTTTGATTCTCATCTACACTCATCACATTTTTCTTTCTCTTAACAAAAAATCACCAACGATGATTTTCTGTTCAAACTAATATGAGTGAATGAACAACGAGATAAATTTATTCCGGTCATTAAAATTATATTAAAGCAAAATTATATTAGTATCATATTCATTTGGATTTATATGAAAAAGGAAAAACATATTTTATTTTAATTTATTACGTTTTCTCCTGATTAAAGGGCTTCTTTTAGGTTTTAGATGGCACATTCCAAGGCCGCAAATTAAGCTGATTTGTGAGCAAATTCTACGGGTCCTACCAATATCTGTATATGCGAGGTCGTTATAATTTTTATTTTATTTTTGACATAATATTAACTGAACTGTTGATATTTACGTTTTTTTTTATAAATTTAATCTTTATTTTCTTGATTAACTTTTACTTCAACATTTTAAATAAAATTAAATCAATAGTTCTTAATTAAAATAAAAATAAAATATTAATTTTTCTAATAATAATAATATGAAAATTTACATAAGTGTTCACATGTATTTCTTGCTAATTTATTTTATTTTATTTTTAGAATATTTTTTTAGAAATTTTAAATTATTTATTTACTTAACATTTAAGATAAAAAGTATTATATTAACATAAAATATATATGAATTGTCACCCTGTACACATTAATTTTTTTAAAAATATAAAATTTAGTGAATATTTTTATTTGAAAATATGACTTGATTCTTTTTAAAAATTAATGATTAAAATTAATTAAAAAGTAATTAAAATTAGTAGACACAAAACTCAAAAACATATTATTAGAAAGAATAATTATAAATTAAAAAAAATAACTACAAAACAATACAAATACTAAAAAAGAACTAATAAAAAAATTGTAAATATTAATGGATAGTTTATCATTACACCTTTATTTATTTATTATTAGTTGACATTAATCACGTGGACTTGAGTTTGAATATTCGCATAAAATAGGCACAGCCTAAAATATAAATTATTATTTCTACCTTTTAATTTATGTTATTTTAATTAACGAGTTTAAGTAAAATAATGTTTCAAATATTTATATTATAAGTCTATTTTATTTTAATCATTAAATATTAAGGTAAAGAACACAAATTGTCCCCGCTTATAGGGTATTACTTTGTTGAGTATCTCAATTATTAAAAGCTACAAAATAATCCCTCAATAATAGGAAACTACTTTGTTGATTCCTCCGACTATTAACATATACAAAATTGTTACCTGACTATTCATATGTTAGAAACTCGTCATTTTCAGTTAAAAATTGATAGTTATCTGAGCTGAACATTAACCTCTTGACTAGGATATGATAAAATCTGATCATAGAACCGTTTGAGCTGTATTTTATAGATCAACTCTTCGTTTACATTATACTGTCGAGCCAGTGCTTAAAAGATTATACTATCGAGTCAATGCTAGAAAGCAACGGTTGTGCCAATAGACATTATTAAAATATGATTTTATTATATCTTAGTCAATATGTTAATGTGCATCTTAGACAACCGCTAATTTTTTTAACCAAAAATGACGAGTTTGAAACTTATTAATAGTCAGATGACAATTCTGTAACTTTTAATAGTCAGTCGACTCAACAAAGCATCACCCTATATTTTGAGGATCATTTGTGTATTTTATCCTAAATTTTATTAATTTAATAATATAATATATTAAAAAAAAAGTTAATTTCAAATTTATTCTATAAAATTACAAAAATTTATATTTTTTATCGTTATAAAAAACCTAAAAACTCTTTTTAATTTTAGAATGACTTCTCTACCTCTCTAGGATTATTGCAGCTGACGAGGTCAACCGCAGAACAATGCCCTTCGTGCAGAACAGGCTTGGACAATAGTCCATAAGGAAAATAAATTTGATTTTTTTTAATGTCATTTTATCAATTTTTTTTAAATTAACAACTCAACAACTAAATAAATATAAAGATAACGTAACTAATCAAATTGTTAATTTTTAAAACTGATGACTAAAATAAGATAAACCAGAAATAAATATTGATACTTTGTGCAATTCATTCTATTATTTTTTATATCAAACTTTTATATTTACGTGCAATGTGGCACTCAATTTTTGTGTGCAATTAAGTATTTACATTTGATTTCTCAAATTTAATATCCAACCTTTTTCTTTAGTGTAATTATGTGCCTATCTTTTTTAATTAAATATTTTTTATTCTATTTGGTCCATACTTGTAATTTTTAATGCCGTTTAGTTAAAGGAGTAATATGTATTAAAATTTTAAAAAATAGACATTAAAATTCAATGTATGAACATCTGTAATTAAAAAATATTTTAAGTACACGTTGGGTACTAATTGCACCCAAAAAGTATGGTACCTGTGAGCACCATTTTTGTTGTTTATATTATTTTACAACCAACTTGAGGCCCCAAACTAAAACCAAGATAGCCCCAAACCAAAACCCGACTCGGTAATCGTTCAAACACCCAACCGAAGGCCACCTACACTCCACCCAACCAGAGGCCACCCCCCTATGCCAGCACGCCATCTACACTCCAGCTCCACGCAAGGGAAGCAGGGACAACAAACAACACAACAAAAAACCATCATTTGATTCCAATTGTAAACGAGTATAAAACCCAAAACAATACATTGTAATCGAGATTTCATTCCCATTCGAAAAATCAATAAAAAGCAGAGAAAAGCAGTTTAAAGGTTTTTTATTGATGTTTTTTTTATTTTTTCAAAGCTTTCGAAAGTAAAAAAAAGGAGAAAGAGCGTTACGATTCGGCAGGATCCTCGTAGGCGTTCGGGGAGTTAGTTCACAGATCCGAATGGTAAGAAGGAGCGTCTCGAGGAGGGGAGCAACATACTGAAATTTGGGCCCGATCCAATGGTGGAGATCAGAGCGGTGGAAGTTGAGCGGCTCTCGGCTAATTTCGCAGAGTTGAGGGCCGATTCTCACGAAACTGAGCCCAAATCTACGACGACCGGGTCGGCGGCCGGCGAGGGTCAGACGGCAGACGACCGACCTTTTCTCTCTCTACTTTTTTTAAAACTAAAAAACTGAAATTATAAAAAAAGAAAAAAAGTTTGTATTTATAAAACAAATTTAGGGAAATCACGTTTTAGGTCCCCAACAATTCCAATACTTTTATAAAATGGTCACTGGAAGGGACCGTTTTATAATTTTTCATTCTATGTTTGTGCTTTGAAATTTTTGGTATAATTTCAGTTTGGTCCCCCACTTTTAGCGTGATTTTACACTTTGGTCATGTGTAGTTACCTTTTAATTTTTTTTTTTCAATTTTGTGGACTTATTTTGTAGTTTTTCCTTTTTATTTTAACAAATTTGTAGGCTTAAATAAATAGTTTAATTATCTTTTAGTCCCTTTAATTTCTAGCGTATTTTACATGTTAATCCCTATATCTATTTTTTTATTTTATTTCAAATTAGACTTTAAATTTTAATTTATTTTAATTTAGCAACTGTTTTTTCTTATTTAGCTACTAACTTTTATTTTCTTCCATTTTAGTCATTATTATTTTACATTTATGCAATTAGGTCTTTATGTTTATGTTTATTTTATATTTTACTATTTTTTTTATTGTTTTAATTGTTTTAATTAAGTTTATTTTTAATTGTTTTGTTTCATAGTTTAAATTCTAGATTTAGTTTTAAATTAGATTAATATTCGAATCAAGCTTAGAAATTAGGATTTCACATTAGTTTTAATTAGGGAGCAATTCGAGTCGAGTTTTCGCATAAGATGCCCGATTACTCGAATCGATTGCTTAACTTTTAAAATTTATTAATAATTAATATTTTCTAAAAATACTTTAGGTTTAATAATTTAGATGATAATTAGTTTTTTGATTTATTAATTAGTCCTCAACTTTATAAATTATTAATTTAGGTCCTTAAGCTTTTAAGTCTTTTAGAACTCGATATTTTAGATCTTGACCTTTTGGTCCCCGAATTTCGATTAGAGCTTTAGTATTGACATAATTAAATAGGTTAAATAGAGTCTCCACTTTTAGTTAGATTTCAAACTAGGCTTGTAATTTAGGGAATAATTCGAGTTAGCCCTCGCTTAAATGCTCGAGGGACCATCTCGATTATTCGATTCGATAGTTGATTAAAATCAAATAGGATTAATATTATAGCCTACATTTAGGTTAAGTCCCTAGGTTCCTTAATTTTCAAAATTTGACACCTTAAGCTAGAAAAAGCCTTTAATTTACCTTAGCTTAATT